GGGGGGAGGGGACGCACCGCTCGAGGCGGAGAATCTGGCGGTAGAGACCCTGAATGCGGCTGACATGGGCCGCACCGCGGGCAGTCGAGGCGAACACGGACATGGTGTGGGGTCTTCGTTGGGCGGAGGCAGGGAGGTCAGGCCAGGGGGGGAGGGGGGAGGGAAACACGGGGCAGAGTTCGTGGCGGGTGAGCGGGACAGGGGGCTGGGGCCGAGGCGCGCCACAGGAGTGGCGTCGCAGGAGGCGGCCAGGGGGAGAGGCATCGAATACGGAGGGGGGGGGGAGGAGGGCGGGTCGAACAGAAAAGAGGCGACGGAGGGTTCAGAGGGGAAAGGGGAAGCTACGTCTGCCCGACTCCCACGGCGGGGAGGGATCCGGCAACGCGGTGGCCGAAATTGGAGGTTTCACCCCTCGGCCTTGTGCGGCACCGGGCGCCGGCGGGCGGGCGGGCAGGCGGGCGGGCAGGCCTCCCCCGAAGGGGGGCAACACCGGGCAAGAGGCGCCGATTGCCGTTCGCAGGCTTTCCGGCGTCCGTGGGCCTGGGGGCCCAATGTGCAGCAGGCAGGCCCGGAGCTTGGGCTCACTTCCCAGGGAGGCGGCCTGGGTGCATCTCCGGCGCACGGGCAGCGGGTATGGCGGGCTCCAGGCACATCCCTCCGACCGGCGCCCTGCTGGCGGCGTGTGTGTATGTGTGTCTGTGCCTGTGTCTCTCTCTCTCTCTCTCTCTCTCTCTCGCGGAGCATGAGCCCGAGGCGCCGGTGTCTAGTGATCTCCAAATGGTATTTCCAATGCCGGAGGGGATCAGGCTGCGAGGGCGTGATCCCCGCGGGCGCCTTTGCTCAAAACGCCCCTTCGATTCCCCCGATTCTTCCGCGGAGCCGGGCCAGGCGGGGGGGGGCCGCCGCCGAAAGGTGGGGTGTTGAATGGGCCCACCCATCCGGGGAATGAGAGGGGGCAGGTGAGAACGAGCGAGGAGGGGGGGGGGGGGAGAGAAGGCCGGAGAGGCGGTCCGGGGGGGGGGGGGGGGGCACCCTCCTTCCCCCGGCCCCCTTGGGCTGTCGGTCCCTATCACTAGCTGCTTGTGCCGGGACGCAAGGGGGAAGATTCTCCCCTATCTTTCTCCGCGGCAGTGCTTGTCCGTCGTCGGCTGCCGGCTGCCGGCTGCCGGCTGCCGGCGGTGTGTTTTCCTTTGCGCCTCCTGCCCGAAAGTCCTCTTGGGGGGGGGCAACAAAAAATAAGCTATTTAAAGTTCTTACCAATACAGCAGGGCCTGCTCGATCATCCGCCTGCGCAGGCGTGCTGATCCTTCTTTCGGCCAAGGGGGCGCTGCTCCGGTCCCCCTTTCGCCCCGCCCCTGCCCGGCCGGACGAGCCACCGGCGCCAGACGACGCGCCGGGCCGGCCACCGGCGAAGCCAGGGCGCAAACCGGGTCCTCGCTCCGGGAGGCTGGGCCGGGCCGGGGATCGGCATCAACAGCGGGGAGTTGGTGGCCTGACGTGGCGATTGGTATTGCCGCCAGCCAGAATGTCGGGTGCATTCTAGCTCCTGGCAGCGGCCGCACCCCCCCCGCCCCCCCTCCTGCGCATGGCTGAGGTTGAAGGAACACTGAGACGTGGCCGCCGGGCAGGCATGCAGTCGGGCGCATTGTGCGGGGCGCGCATGTGCGTGCGTGGGAGACAGACCTGGCGGGCGTCCAACCTCACCGCCGGCCGCCAATGGTGTACTAACAGCCAGCAGGGCCCCCGAGGCCGAAGTCAGAAGGAGTGGGAGGCCCCCCGGACGCGACACGCGTGACGACCCCCCTCACCCCCCCCCCCCCCCCGGGCGGGAGGCCGGGGAGGGGGGGATGCCGGTGATTGCTGGCTGACTGGCCGGCCGGCCGGTCATGGCCCGGAGGACGGAGGATGAATTTCCGCCCGGGGGGGGCCTTTTTTTCGCTCGGGTCGCCGGTCTCCTCTTCCGACCTGGC